AAGCATGAAATGTACATGTGATCACAGCTGCAATCCTCAGTAAACACATGAACATCAAGGCAAAAACTGATCCGGACATGCATCACGCTTCCTTTCTTAGGTCCCTTGATGAAATTCTGTGATCGAAAAAGCAATAAACGAAAATGCATTGTCGGTCAAAGTGCACTGAATCATTTGCAGATACTTTATCGTCAATAACATTCACACGAATCTATACTTGAAGGGCTATTTGAACAACACTATGATTATACAACTTTTTATGATTTTGAGACAATAATCACCATTAACTGTTTCTGACATCACAAAACAAACAGCATAGAATCTTATTATACTAGAGTCTGCATCAACGATGTCACATCCAGATTTGCACTTTACATGTAGTATCCAAAGGATCACAAAACTATTAGTCCGTAAGTTATTTTGCGATGAGTTCACCTCAAGAATGGAAACTACCTTCAACTGCAAGTTTGACTTTAGGTTTAGTCAAATTAAGAGATTGACTGACAAGAATAAGAATAATGATCATTATGATTAGAATAAACGAAGAATCAGGAATGAAGAGCAAGGATGTTGTCTAACTTCATTTTGAAGACCTTTATATTGCCTCGTGATTAAATATTCCCATACAAGAAAATTTATAGCTGTAGGTATACTCAATCGTCGCATGAGCATCATATCATACTGCCACAGCAAGAGACATTGCCACAGCGCCCTAATCCGTGGCATTCCATTGGTAACAGCTATACTACAGAAAGGTCACACCATGCAGCCCATTTGTTATATGCACAAGTAAATGATCATCGTTCAATATGCAGCAGAGGTGCTTCAAAATACTATACATGATGTACATTATGTTCTATTCATCATCTTTTCATGGATTGCACTACAGCCCGTGAGATATGGACAAAGTGTGCTTTACTGTATTCTGGACAGAATAACATGAGTCAAGTTTGTGACATGTGGGAGGCTTTATTTGAAGCCAAAATTGGTGATGCTAGTTTGGCAAAACATTATTGCTCGTTTTGCATCTTTGTATTAGTGCCTCAAGTCTTATTTTCCACTTGCTACCATAGTTACTCAGATGCAACAACGAGAAGCGGACATGATAACCATGCTCTTTCTTCGTAGCCTTGGTCCAGATCATAGTGCTCTTCGTCAACAGATTACCTCTCAGAGCACTCTTCCTTTCATTGAAGAAGTGTATTCTCGAGCTGCTCATTACACTTCTGGTCCCAAGACTTCAGCAATTTCAGATAGTAGTGCTATGGTGGCTCGTGGAGGTCAAGGGACTCGTGGTCGTATTAACGGCCGTGGACAATGGAATTCTGATAGTTCTTACCGTGGTCGTGGTCGTGGTTTTCAAGGCCGAGGTACCGCTCGTGGTGGTGGTAGTAATACTTCTAGAGGAGCACGTGGTGGTGGTCGAGCGAACCGTTTTTGTACTCATTGCCAGCTTTCTGGGCACACTGTTGATTATTGTTATGACCTCCATCCTAAACTGCGGGGTCTACATGCTTCTATTGATAATGAGCCTTGGAATCCTTCCCTTGGATCTTCTTCTGGACAGGGTACAGTACAGTTGACTCGTGCAGAATATGATGAGTTGGTCAGAGCACGACAAAGTGAGAATGGTGCTATCTCTGGTCCTACTGCTACTTTAGCACAGCGTAATGATCCTACATGTCTATTGTCCAGTACAGCTCCTCGTTCTTGGGTTATTGATTCGGGTGCCACTCATCATATGACTGGTGATCCTCGTCTTCTCACATCCACCTCATTTGTTCCTTCTATGTCAGTCGCCTTAGCAGATGGTTCTCAATCCAAAGTTACTGGTACAGGTTGTGTATCATTGAGTTCCTGTCTCCTTACCTTTTGTTTACCATATTTCACACTTTCCTTACAATCTATTATCAGTCAGTTCTATTACTCGTGATCTTGATTGCGATATTATCTTTTCTTCGTCTTCGTGTGTTCTTCAGGATCGGAAGACTAGACGCCGAATAAGTGGTGGGCGTGAAGCTGGTGGATTTTACATCCTGGAACCTGAGATTATTGCTGCTGCTACAACAATTCAGAATAAAGCTGTGGATGATCCTTATCGATTACATTGTTGTCTTGGTCATCCATCAGCAAACGTATTCCGACGATTTCCTTTCGTGTCTAGTTCAAGTCTTCAGTTTAATTGTGAAACGTGTCAGTTAGGTAAACACCATCGTGAGTCTTTCTCTCCTCGTGTTTTGAGTCGTGCGTCACATCCATTCGAGTTAATTCACTCCGATGTGTGGGGTCCTAGTCGAGAGTCTTCATTTGGTTTTCGTTATTTTGTCACTTTTATTGATGATTGTACTCGTACAACTTGGTTATATTTAATAAAAGATCGTACTGAAGTTTTTCATTCTTTCTGCCAGTTTTATCATGAAATATGTACGCAGTATGATTGTTCTATTAAGTGTTTGCATACTGACAATGCTCGTATTTTTCTTCATCTACCTTTATTCCGTTTCTCAAATCTCATGGTATTTTACATCAGAGTTCTTGCGCTCACACTCCGCAACAAAATGGAGTTGCTGAACGTAAGAACTGTCATTTGTTGGATGTTGCTCGTTGTCTTCTTCTTCACACTCATATACCTAAATCATTCTGGAGCTATGCTCTACTTACAGCATGTCATCTTATTAATCGTCTTCCGTCCTCCGTGCTGAAAGGAGCTATTCCTTATGCTCTTCTTCATCCTGATCGTTCTTTATGGTCTGTTCGCCCTCGTATCTTTGGATGTGTCTATTTTGTTCATTCTTTGTCTCCTGGATTAGACAAATTATCACCTCGTGCTGAAAAATGTATATTCGTTGGTTACTCCCGTACTCAAAACGGATATGTTTGTTATAATCCTACTCGTCGTCGGGAGTATGTTTCTGCTGATGTGACTTTCTTTGAGGATAAAGCATTCTTTGGCGATGATCGTCCTCAAGCACCATTAACCTTGGACCTTCTGCCACCCTCTGCACCTACATCTCAGCCGGAGCCACCGTTTGTTACTTCTAATGCTGCTCCACTGGATCCAGGTTCACCAACACCGACCCCTCTTCAGGTCTATACACGTGGTTCTCGTTCTATTTGGGGTAATACATCTTCACCAGCAAGCGTTCCACCACCACCAACTTCGGTCCAGGCTTCCGATCCTCTTCCACCGTCTCCTGACAGTTCTCCTATTGCTCACCGTACTCGATCTCGGTATCCTCTTTCTAATTTTGTGTCTTATCATAACTTAAGCCCTCAGATGTCTGCCTTTGTGTCATCTCTTGCTTCTGTGTCTGTGCCTAGTAGTGTCCAGGAAGCTTTGGCCCATCCAGGGTGGGCTCGCGCTATGGAGGAGGAGATGGCTGCTTTACATCATAATAAGACTTGGGAGCTCGTTCCCTTACCGGCTCATAAACAATTGGTAGGTTGTCGCTGGGTCTTTGTTGTCAAACACCATCCAGATGGGTTTAGTTGAGCGCTTAAAGGCGCATCTTGTGGCAAAGGGCTATACTCAAACTTATGGTATTAACTATGATGAAACTTTTTCTCCGGTAGCCAAAATTCCTTCTGTTCGTATCATTATTTCCTTGGCTGCTCGGTCTCAGTGGACTCTTCATCAGCTTGATGTCAAAAATGCCTTCCTTCATGGTGATCTTCATGAGGAAGTATATATGGAACAACCACCTGGGTTTGTTGCTCAGGGGGAGAAGGTGTGCCGATTGCGAAAAGCTCTTTATGGGCTTAAGCAATCTCCTCGTGCTTGGTTTGGCCAGTTCAATGATGCGGTTATTACTTTTGGCATGCATCGGTGTAGTGTGGATCACTCAGTATTTAGTATGTCATCTTCAAAAGGATGTGTTTATGTTGATGATATCATTGTCACAGGCAGCGATGTTGAAGGCATACGATGACTCAAGCAGTTTCTTCAAAAGGAGTTTAACACTAAAGACCTAGGTCGTCTGCGATATTTTCTTGGCATTGAAGTTGTCTATGCCAATGGTAGCATTGCTCTCTCCCAGCGAAAGTATGCTCTTGACGTTCTTAAGGAGGTTGGCTTACATGATTCTAAGCCTGGTGACACACCTATGGATCCTGGAGTGAGGCTTGACAATGAAGAGAGAGAACTTCTTCATGATCCAAAGAAGTATCGTCGATTAGTAGGCAAGTTAAATTATCTTACCATTACCCGTCCGGATATTTCATTTGCTATTAGTGTGGTGAGTCACTTTATGAGCTCTCCTCGTACTAATCATTGGTAAGCTGCTCTACAAATTGTTCGATATTTGAAGAGAGCTCCAGGTCAAGGACTTGTGTTCCATAATCAAGGTCATCTTCGTATAGCTGGTTATTCCAACCCTGAATCTTTGGAGGTGACAGGATATTCTGATGCAGATTGGGCTGGTTGCCCTATGGATCGCCGGTCTACTTCGGGATACTGTGTATTTCTTGGTGGTAATCTTGTGTTGTGGAAAAGTAAGAAACAGTCTGTTATTTCCCGATCTAGTGCAGAGGCCGAGTATCGTGCTATGGCTAATGTTACCAGTGAACTTCAATGGGTTCGTATGTTGTTAGCTGAGATTGGACTACCTATGACCGGATCATCTATTCTGTGCTGTGATAATCAATCTACTATTCATATTGCTAGCAATCTAGTGTTTCATGAGAGAACGAAGCATATAGAGGTGGATTGTCATTTTGTTCGAGAAAAGGTGAACTGTGAAGACATACGGTTGGTACACACACGTTCTGAAGAGCAACTAGCAGACATTTTCACAAAGCCTCTTCAACGTGGACGAGTTTCATATATTTGTCATAAGTTATGACTTTTTTATATGTACACTCCAACTTGAGGGGGAGTGTTGGGTTTATTACTTTAGAGTATTAGCAAGTTGGGGGTATTTGTGTAAATGTATTAGGCTTAATCCTAAGCCTATAAATACTCTTTGTTATCTCTGAAATAAAGTTAAGTTACTCTTTTATCATTAACAAAGAGAATTGGCTTCTGATGCCGTTATACCTCCACAGCATTTGAAACCCTTTGATCCAGAATTCCCAATACTGCAAGAATAACAAGAAAAAAAGTTAGAAACATTCATAAATCAGGCAGATGCATCCCAGAATGCTTTTGACTCATAATCAGATTATGAATCGAAACATGACTGTAAATTTCAAGCTCTAAAAGTATTGAGTTTTCATGGTTTTTTTTTTGCCCTGAACTTTTTGCTTAGATGCATCCTTGGTACATCTCTTGCTTCTTCCCCCAGTACTTGAGCTTGTTCTCTCAAAACTAACAATTTGAACAGAAAAACAATGTCCGTAATCTAGATTAGCAACTTCATGTACTGCTCAAATCACAATGAAACAGATCCTGTTTCACTACGTTTTAACTTTTATTTCAACAAAGTCAGAGCAAAAAATTGATTAGTTCTGATCAAGCTTAGGAAACATGAAATGTTAGCTCATAACAATGTCAGACAGTTGAAATATCATACTGGAAACACAAGCCATACACCACAGTTTAGCAGGCACATGCTCTCATGTATGCAAGAAGAGACAATAGCAACTATTAAACAAGAAAAGAGATTTCTTTATCAAGTACATTGCCCATGGCATATCAGAAAGCATAAATTTTTCCTCAGAGTTAAAATATCATACTTCTTTGAAGATACTATACATCTCGATTTAAACGTGCTAACATTAAAGACATCAAAGAATCTCACTGCAGTGAAAAAGGTCAGGAAGAAGAGATGAAGAAACAGGGGAGAGGGAAAAGGAAAAACAGAAACTAATGTTAGCTTAACTTGTGGCACTTCCCAGAACGGTAAACTTTTTAGGGCAAACAAAGAATACAGAAATGTCTAACAAGTCACCGAGAATTTAAGAAAAAGGAAACAAAGCAGGAAAAGAAAGAATAAATATAAACTTGACTTCTTAATGCTTCCAGATACACCATTTTCTTCCATTTAGACTGAGGAAAGGACAGAAAAGATGGAAAATTAGTTCCATAAACCTCCATTTATTTTCGTGGTTATGTGTTGCAATATCCGATGTGGCAACAACATACAGAATCACTGCAAACCCACATCCATCAGTCATCAACATAAGGAATCATAAACCTTCAGTAAGCTTTAGTTGTCAATTGTCTTTTTTTTTTTATAACCAAAGCTTTAGTTGTCAATTGTCATATGCCACAATTTCAAAGTAATGCTATGTAAATACAAAACCAGCAGCAAAAGTAAGTTCATAAACTGACCTAATGTGTGCCTCAGAGCTACTTGAATGCAACGACATTATTGAGCCACAGCCTCCAAATTTATCATTTGCACAGCCATAATATACTTCCTTTAAACCTAAAAAGGGAGAGAGTCATCTAATCATAAATAAACAAATTTTAGGAAAGTTCAGTTTTATTTCAGTAGGATCAACGGATGTACCAATGATCGATAATGCTGCTGCACACATTTTGCATGGTTCACATGTCACATAAAGGGTGCATGCTGAAAACTTCTCTGCAACTTCTGCAGCCGAAAATCCAGTCCTCTGCCACCGTACAAGAAGAACATCAAGAGCTTCCATCTCTGCATGTCTCGTTGCCCATGAAAGCCCAAAGGGAAAAAGGAAGCAAGCATATCATACTTGGGAGCTTTGTCATGAGAAATATTTCTCCCTCAAGTTAACTGATTAAGAGTATATATAAGATTGATCAAGGCATATACTACATGAAGTCAAAAAGTTTTACTCACTTGAAGTTGCTGAGAATCTCACTAGGAAAAAGAGGCTTCTTATTGGAATAGCCACCTCCACCTTTTTTAACAGTATTTTTTTAATATACCCCTGTAGCAAGGTGCCTTTGTTTTTTTATTAATCTCCACAAGATACTAAAAGGGCCAAATATTTTTCACATCAACTATTCATTGCTATCCATAAAATCATTTATAGTAATGTATTGCCACCTGATGACTATAAAAGATTACAGAAATAGACTATTAGATAAGAGATGATGCCTACCAGAAACCAGACTTAAACTAGTTGTGTAAATGGTCATTGTATGAAGAACTGTGCCCAAGTAGCAGGTTCTTACAACTTAAAAGGCAATACAATGGTCACAATGCATTTTTAGACTATTTAAGTATACCAAAAGTCTAGCTAAATACAGTCTAAGAGAACAATTTTAGGAACTTCACAAAAGCAGATAAAAATATGGTTCCAGACAGACCACAATGGTAAACGAAAAACGTAAAACATTGTGCATAATAACGCAAGATTATTGTTATTGTTAGCCGTAGCCATATTTTATGAAGAGCAATGGGAATAAAGCCCCTTACAGCCTAATAATGCATGGAAAATTCCACTTTTAAACAGATTTGATCAGATATATTATTTTATTATCTAATAAATACATATTAACGGAGAAACATGAAATGATCAACAATAAACTACGAGTGGATGATTCGAGGGTATTAATTCGGAACAATAACAAAGTGCAGTTGGCCAAAATTTATAGAAGGGGGTGGAGCAGCAATGATAAACATACATTCCATGTCTTGTTAGTCTGGTTTCTTTCTGCCGCAATACCGTTCCCATCCTCAATAATCACACAGCTGTTCAATCAAAGAGTCCAATCTGAAATCATTCACTAATAAGACTGAAATACTAATCATATTAATTAGAAAATGAAGTAACATATATGAAATGCACCTAGTTACAGACAATCAGTATCTTACCCAACTGGAACTTCAAGGCTGTCCAATGGAAGCTTTGCCTTATATAAGAAAAGCAAATAGATCTTGTTACTTGTTAGGAGAAAAATTATAAGAATAAGAGTCAGAAATTCTTTCATGCATGCATGCATGCATAAAGCCAAATTCAAGAGGAAATCAGCATCACGTTGCCAGCAGTAGTAATATTTCAGTATCAATATACAGTTACTAACGGAACAAATGCATGTCCCATACTTATATGATCAAGATCTTGCAGGTCCTGTACAAGATACTGGTCACTAACTTCCAAGCAATGATTATCACCCCATACTCATCCAGTAATACAGATGCAAATCCTACCTAACGGTTAAACTGATATGGCTCTAACAACAGTACAGCTAAAACAAGAACAAAATTGAGAAACTACATGTTGTTGATTCTAGTGTGTCCTATCATGGGTACCTCAGAAGCTTTTCTTTCCATTAATGAGGTTTCACTCAAACATTCAAGAAGCTTCCTTGAGTTTTAGCTTCTGGGCCATTTTCCTTCACAAATATTATGGCACATGACGAGAAAGAGAGATCCATAAAACCGTTGTGAAGCCCTCAGAAATCATAATTGGCAATCAGCTTTTGTGATTTTGCCTCTATTCTACTGAATAACTTATGTAAACTCTGTTTTTCTCTTTTTCTTTTACATATACACAGGCCACAAGGCCCAAGAAAAAACCTAACCAGTTATCCATGGGCACAACCGATGTTCATATTATGCTCACACTCCAAGTAAATTTCGTTTTCAATTCTCCCTAGGTGCCAAAGTCTACAAGTGGCAAAAGGACTTGACTGTCAAGCAACCTCTCCCTGTGGCTTGCCATCTAATTGCACCTTCTTCATTCCTCTATGGTTTTGCCTCTTCAAGCGCCTCATGAAACTTGGCGACAGAGTGCTATCTTAGTGATCAAAGTTTCTCATAATTCAATTGTCCTGGCAAACCTATCACCCACTGCACATCTTTATGATAGGCACATACTACACATCCACATTTCCTAGACACCTCAAAAGCACCCTGTGGCTTGCCGAATTGCACCTTCTTCATTCCTCTATGGTTTTGCCTCTTCAAGCGCCTCATGAAACTTGGCAACAGAGTCCTATCCCAGCGGTCAAAGTTTCTCATAATTCAATTGTCCGGGAAAACCTATCACCCACTGCACATCTTTATGATAGGCACATACTACACATCCACATTTCCTAGACACCTCAAAAGCACATTGTGGCTTGCCGTCTCATTGCACCTTCTTCATCCCTCTATGGTTTTGCCTCTTCAAGCGCCTAATGAAACTCGGCGACAGAGTCCTATCCCAGTGGTCAAAGTTTCTCATAATTCAATTGTCCTGGCAAACCTATCACCCACTGCACATCTTTATGATAGGCACATACTACACATCCACATTTCCTAGACACCTCAAAAGCACCCTCTCTCTCTCTCTCTCTCTCTCTCTCTCTCTCTCTCCCAACCTACAGCACCCGGATTGGCTCAGTTTTTCATCTGAGAAAGGGGCTGAACCAACCCATGTACACCCTACTTCCCTTTGTTTCACTCTCCCTCATTTGTTTTCCCTTTGAACCTAGACTTCACCTACTTCTTTCAATAAATTGCCACCTACAGAAACGAAGAAATAAAAGCTATACCTTCTAGAAATTGTTGCTGATTTTGCAGCGTGTAGTGTCGATTACCAATGGATTCACTATGAAGCATCCACAGACAACACTTATGAAGAAACACTTATTCAATGTCTCTTGTACAAAAGTCAACTATACATTCTTCAAATTCCCGCGCAATTATAGCACCAAACGAATCGTTCACATTTCAGCCCAAGTATCACATCAACTTAATACAATTCGGCTGTGCCAGGCATTACCTGATCTATAGCAAGCTGCATAAAACCCAGAACCTCAGGAGAGAATTGTTCACCCGAATCTACGTTATCAGTTTCCATGGCTTTGGTTGTTGGTGGTAGTGCGTCGCCTCCCCTTGCCAGTCTCAGTCACCTTCAGTAGCTAGGCTGTTTTAGGAAGAAGAACTTCTTCTGTTTGTCACCTCCATCGGCAGGTGGCAATCTTCCACTCATCACAGCTCGCTGGTGTCGGATGAAAGATGAGCAGTCGTGGTATTGTAGGTGGTGTCGATGGTGAAATTTGCCTATGGTGAAGGAAAGGAAGGAGCTTATAATAGGAAATCAAAGAAAGAAGGTGGAGAGAAAGAATTAAAAACAAAGAAAAAGAATAAATAGAAGAAAAAATTACAGAAATTTATTTTAGGATATATAGTTAACCGGGTTAACGGGGATTTAGTGAAAAGAAAAAAAAGGTTAAAGGGGATGCATGTGTGCATAATTAGGTGGTCATGCATAGATGAAAATTGGTAATTATTTATGAAGTATGTGATTCTGAAAGACCAATTATATTTCTGCCATAATCAAAGGGTAGTTTGGAAAGACGAAACTTGATTTTGACTTAGGCTCTTTTTGTTTAAAGGAAAATAGTTTACTAGAAAACTTCTTTTTCCATTTTTCAAAGTGTTTGGTATGGGAAAATAAGTAGGTCAAAGAAAAATGACTTCAGTTGACCAGAAAATACCAAGCTTAAAAATAAGGAAAATAACTTCTTAATTTTATAGGTAGAAGTCATTTTCCAAAAAAGTATGTAGGACTATCCTTACCAAAGTGTTTTGATAGATGACCAGGTAAAACAAGGATTCTTTTGAGCACATGCCCTCGAGTGAGCACGCATGTTCACTAGGAGACCATAGAATTCTCTGGACAACACTAGCATAAACTGCTCAAATGGGAAAATTGTGGTTCAATGTGATTCACAGCCTGATATAGAGTATAGTTGATGCACCAACCTAGCAGTATGTCGTCACACACCAATACAAAAATTGATCATGGACTCAGAGGTCCACAGCTTGACAAGCCCTCCCACAAATTGAGTTCAGACCAGGAATAAAGCAGGACACTGTGCAACACGAGTGTAGGTACAGAATCTGTAATTCTCTGCTCGTTCAAGGTCCTCTCCACATCATCTCTAATACACTGTCGTCATCTCTAGTATCCATTCACAAAAGATGATTATTCAGTGAGATATTCAACTCAATTTTCTCTGGGGAATTTTAACGAACACCTAGCGGGCCAATCATAGCAGCCACTACAATTACATATAACTCCAAATTCTAGCCATCTCCATAGAATCAATCCCATTACACAAATCTAAACACCCCCCAAACATCATCAACTCAAAATCATCATATAAAAAGGGCCTAAGAAACTCGGACATGTGGTGGGTCACCGAGATCAGAATAACAAAGAAGAAGAAGAAGAAGAAAAACCACGAAGGGATTCGAGCCAAGGACGCACACCGCAGAGAGAGTCGCACTAAGAAAGGGAGACGGAAGAGGAGGACACACACCTTCAACAATTTTTGAGGTAAATACACTCTACAATTTCTTTTTTCTTGGATTAATATACCAGCAAAAATTTTAAACTATGCCTACCATAATACCGACTTTTTCCCGCGTTACTAATAATCCTTAAATTATAAACTGTGGCTAGCTGAGGTTCCGACCTCTCAGATTCGAGGTTGCGAGACCTCGGGACTCGAGGCGGAAACCTCAAGGGGAGGTCGCGGAGGTTTGGGGATAGGGAGAGAGATGGTCGCAAGCCCCTGTGCGGCGGACGACAACAACGGCACGGCGATGGCCTCGTAGCATTAACAGGCGGGAGCGATGGGGCGTTGTACGGTTTGGACGACGGCTGAGCATGGAAGAGGATGGAAGGGAAAAAAATAAATAATAAGAACCGTTTTAAGATTAAAAAAAATTTGCCCATTTTAAATTGAGTTGGCACTCCTATATATAGCAATGTGCATCATTCTTTTCTGAGTAAACAAGTCACCATGTTGAGCTATATTTTGACAGTTCAGATACTCAATTGGAAAAGAAAAAGTCGCGGTACTTGTACGTAATAAAACGGACGAAAATTTATTGTAGCGTGATTACCCTTAAAAAAAATCTGATAATAATGAAATTTTTATGTTCTTCCAAATTGATTTTATATTTACTTTCCAATTTCAACTAGTTCCTATTGATTTATCAATGATTGTAATACATATTCCATGAAACGAAAAGCAAGTTGAAAACAATGACGAGTGGGAAGACTACTGTTCTTGTGCTCCCAGGGTAACAAAGGTCCGTGT